CACATCTACACAGATACACACACAGGTACACACACACATCCACACACATCTACACACATCTACACACATCTACACACAGACACACAGGCACACACACAGACACAGACACAGACACACACACACACACACACACCCGGCAGACAAGCCACGTTGGCGGTACCTTCGTCGGTTGTCTTTGCACGCTTGCTTGCCCGTACGCTCGGGCGGTTGCGCTTGGAGGCAAATCGGTTTGAGAGCTGCCCGTTCCGCACGCTGACGCGAACGCCAACACGCGGGGCCCAGCCCGTGAAGAACATCTCGCGCTTGCTGCGGTCAATCAGGCCGCCGTACACCTTGGGCTTCAGGAAGTCATCGAGGTCTGGGCATGGGTGGTGGTGGAGGAGGCCAGGGGGGGGGGGAGGGGGTTGATGTTGGTTGTTCGGGTCATTGCATAAGCGACAAGAACAAGAAGAGCAACAACAACAACAACAACAACAACAACAACAACAACAACAACAACAACAACAACAACAACAACAACAACAACAACAACAACAACAACAACAACAACAACAACAACAACAACAACAACAACAACAACAACAACAACAACAAGAACAAGAACAAGAACAGCCATCTCACCCAGCATGGGGAACCAGACTCGGGGCAGGTAGGCGACGAGGGAGGAGTGAAGGCCTGCTGCAACGTTGGACATGCTGTCCGGTGTGTCGCGGCAAATATTCAGCAGCTCATCCCACATCTTCTCGCACGCCGCGCGCGAATTCAACCTGACGCAACACAGCAGGTGAAGCGAAGAAGGTCGGTGTGAGAGCGAAGGGAGGTGGGTTGTGACATATCGGTGCTTGTGACGGCAGAAGGGCAGAAGGGCAGAAGGGCAGAAGGGCAGAAAGGCAAATGAACATTCACACACACACACACACACAAATACACGCACACAGAAATACAAACATACCTACACAAATACATGAATATAACCACACCCAAACAAAGTTATACACAGATGCAAGTGCGCAGTCAAGTACAAAAGCCCGCACTTCATGGTCACTTGGCCTGGCGTTTCCGTGCGCGTGTCATCAAACGTAACCTCAGGCGCAAGCGTCACAATGTTTCGCCTGCAAGGTCGACGGCAACAGTACGCGCGCGCATGGAGACATGGGGTGAGTGTGAATGCAGTTTTCGACACATTCGACACAAATGAACGCAACAAACACACGCACGCACGCACGCACACACCCACACAGACACGCACACCCGCACACGCAAACACACAGACACGCACACTCGCACACGCAAACACACAGACAGACACGCATGCAACGCGAAAGGGCAAATGCAAGTGTATTGGAGGACCACCGCACTTTGACTCGTCGGCGTTGTCGTCCGCCAGCTCAACAGCGCCAACGGAGACGAGCTCTTGCATCACCGTAATCAGATTGTGCAGCGTGCGAAGTGCCTGCAGGCAACGGAGGAGACAACCACGTGGTGTGTATATTGAGCAACGGACAATGGGCAATGGACAAGCAAAGCGTGTGTGTGTATGTGTGTGTGTATGTGTGTGTATGTGTGGATGTGTGTGTATGTGTGTGTGTGTGTGTGTGTGTGTGTGCTCGCGTCATCGAGAATCGTGCCAATCATCGAACAGCAGCATTTCTGCGCCCCACCACCAGCCGCCACGAGCACGACTTCTGCTGCCACCGCACATACCCTGGTGCCGAGGATGACGGGTTTGAGGTCGGTGTGCAGGTCACAGAGGCGCGGATTGTCACCGCGCTCCAGCGTCTGCTCCAGCAGGGCACTGCGCTGCTTGGCCTTGAGGCCCGCCACGCCCATCACTGCAATCGCCAGGCGCAGCGGCATCTGCAGCATCGCCTCAACGATGTTGATCTCACGCAGCCCTGGGGAAAGGGGAAGTGGGGGCATGTGAGTGTGTGTGTGTGTGTGTGCGTGTGTGTGCGTGCGTGTGTGTGTGTGCGTGTGGGCGTGCGTGTGCGTGCGTGCGAGTGCGGGTGAATGTCGGCGTGTCAGTCGTTGGATGTGTGCATACACGCACCCAGTCATGGAAGCTTACGCGTGGACCTGCTCATACAAGTGCCAGACTACACACACACACACACACACACACACACACACACACACACACACGCACGCACACACACGCACACACATACATCTCACCGAGAGGCTTGTGCTTCATGGAGCGCTTGTACGCGGGAATCTCAGGAAGAGAGTTGAAGTAGGCATCATACTCCTCTGTCGTCGTTTTCAGCCACAAATGTGGGGACGGATATTATGGGGACAGGGGTGAGCAAGTTGACTTTAGCAGACACACACGCGCAAACAAAAAACAAACAAACAAACAAACAAACAAACAAACAAACAAACACACAAACAACCGCAAGTAAGTACAAGCATCAGCCATCATGCATGAATTACCTTGGGTGTTCATGGCGAGCTCGGGTTCGATGAGGGCGCAGAAGAACAGATGCGTCAGGCGCAGCCG